ACAATGAACCATTAATGAGATTCGAGTTTACTGTAATTACTACCCCTGTGAAAATCGCAACTGCATATTTCCCCTTCTCATAAAAAAATAGCAAATGCCCCCTTGTATTTATTTTTAAATAGCTTAATCGACCCATTTCCCTTTTTTTCCTGTTGACTGGTTGTGAAAAGACAGAAATACTCTGGAGCGGTTTCTGCAAATAAACTTGGGGACCAAACTGAATTACTGAAAAATTATAGAAACTTAATCAAATAATAACTTAAGGGATTGAATTATAATTTTCAGGAAAATACATAATATTTATAAAAATGTGAGGCTGAAAACACTATTTTGGAGCCAAATTAAAATTTAAAATTATTTTGGAACTAAAAAATAATAAGATCTGTAAATTACTATTATAATTATTCGTTTAATAATATGAAGTACAAATATTAAAACATAAACAAAGAAAATTCTTATACAAATAAACATAAATCGGATTGAATTTAAATATAAATAATCCAAAAATTTGGATCAAATTGCAATTTTTAAAATTTCTTTAATAACCACCACCACGGGCAATCACCTCGTTAGGCCGCCGCATCCAACCATAGAGAAGAAAATGTCTTCCCCTAATTTCTTTTTCCTTCCACAACATGTCTCCTTCACTCTTCTTGCCACAGACACCCGTCCACCACCAACTTCACTACCTCGCTGCCGCCTCCCATTCTACCTCCCACTTTCACCAGAATTTCCTCCTCTCCGCCGTCGCCTACGGCGGCGAGGAGCTGCAGAAATTGAGCTCCCGGTGAGCTTTGTAGGAACTCGGAAGTGAGTTTGCAGGTGATGGATTTGAGAAAAAATGACGAAGAGGAGAGTTGTTTGGTGCCCCACAAACCCGATTATGCCGTGAGAGAGTGGTGTATATTGCGGCACGGAGTGGTGGCTGTTCGGTGTCCCCTGCCGTGGACGATGGTGGGGAACGGTGGTTGTTTTGTTTGAGAATATTAAATATTATTTAATTTCTTTTTTAATTTATTACTTATTAAAACAAAACGAAAAAAAAGAAGTTAGGGGCAATTTTATCGAGCTTATTGCAAATACCACCCCTGTGTAATCTCTAATTGCCAAATACTCCCCTATGGAAAAAAAACTCACTAACTCCCTCCTCTGTTAACGTTTTCGAAGCACATTGCACCCTTTTTTATTTTAGGCTTTGACTAATGATGAATAGACAAAAATGCCCTAAGGAGTTTTTTATCAATTAGTAAAGTATAATACACCAAATTTTAGAATCACTGTAATTTTGTAAATATTATGTATTTATTTAATTATTAAGAATAAAAAAAAATATAAACAAGAATTAAATATATATTGGAATATTAAATTCTTATATGCATTTTTTATAGTGGTTTTATATATTTTGTAATTGTTTATGTTACATTTTATAATAAATAATAATAATCATTAAAAAAAAAAGAAAAAAAAAACTGTTTTCTTCCCTTTCCATACACCCACCCGCCCACCGGCTCAACTTCTGTTCTGCTACACCACAACCACAATCATCTCCTTCGGATCACCGGCTCAACTTGCTGTCCTGCTACACCACCACCACAACCATCTCCTTCGGATCCACCACCACAACAACTGTGAAAATGGTAGCTATAAACACACAACAAAAAAAAATATATAAGCGCAGCGGCGGCGGCGGTGGCGGCGGATCTATATTTCGGCGGCGGCGAGATATCGATCTCGATCTCGATCTCGTCTCGGTCTCTCTCACACAGATCTCGTCACAAGTAACCTTTACCATTCATCAACTATCACTAAGAAATGGGTGGTGCCAGACCGGCGGCGGCGTGGTAGTGGGGAACGAATTTGAAAGAATGGGTAGAAGGCGGTGTAATGGGAATGAATCTGAAGGAGTGGGTGGAAGGAGGTGTAGTGGGAACGGATTTGAAGGAGGCGGGGGAAGGCGGTGGTGCGAGACGGCGCCGGTGCTGAACTTGGGCCGACGGAGAGGACGAAGATGTGAATTCTTTTATTTTTGCTTTTTTTTTTTCCTGTTTCTTTTTTGTAATGGTTTATTATTATTATTTTATAATTTTGAAAATTACAATTTAGTCCTATAAATGTAGATTATTTATAATTAAATCAATATGGTTTTTTTTCCTTTTTTATAAAGGGATATTTCTGTCATTTCACCCAGAAAATAGAATAAAAAATCGCACAATCCGCGAGTGAGAGACACGATTTGCCTCCAGGGGGTCGGATGCCTTGACTTTGTTAACATAGGGGGGAGTTAGTGAGTTTTTTTTTCATAGGGGGGTATTTGGCAATTAGAGATTACACAGGGGTGGTATTTGCAATTACCTCCAATTTTATCATTCCTGCAACAAAAGGATCAAAAATTGCAGAAACCGCGCGTGAGACACACTATTTGCGATAATGGGGGTTTTCGCCTTTGACTAATAAATACAAAGAGTTATTTGCTAGAGTTTTTTATGACAGAGGGAAAATACACAGTTGCGTTTTTCACCGGGATATTCGGTTCTAAAAAGAAAAGCCTAATTATTAATGAGCTTTTAATTTAAGTTACCCGTAAAAAGAAATATTAGCTAGATCCCACTCGATTGAGCCACTTTAATGGCAAACTCAATAGAGTAAGCAAATCGACTCTCCAACTTCTATTTTGAAGACTCATGTAGAGATTCGATAGAATTTTAGTGTCTATAGAAGAAATATTTACAGTGAGGGGCTCAATAAATTTGAGTCTATGAATTATGTTACGAAATTTTTATATATATAATTTGATTAAGGCTTAAATTTTATTCATTATTAAGGTTTTAGATGATTAATTTTTATGGAAACAATGTTAATTTTTTTTTAATATAAACTTCGATCCAAAAGATAAAAAAAATTCTGAAAAGATATGATATATTACTATGGCGGCGGCTGTGAGCGTGGGTTGCTAGGGTTAGCGGCGGCTGCGTTAACTGCTAGGGTTTGCGACGGCTAGGAGTTTTTGGTGACTAGGGTTTGGTAGTAAAACATAGTACACCGTAATATACTATATTGCACTGTAGTATACCATAGTACACCACCACACTATAGTATACTACGGTACATCGTAACATACCATAGTATATTACAGAAAAATTGAAAATATGTAAATTGAAATTTAAAATAAAAAAAAATAGCATATTTTTTTTTTTTTGTAATTCTCAATACTGTATTACAAAATAATTTTTTTCTTATGATAGTGTATAAAATGCTAAAACGAATAAAGAAAAAAAAGGAAGATAAATGGATATTCTGAAGAGAAAAAATAAAGATTGAAATATAAAAATATTAAATGCATAATAAATAAAATGATAAATGCAGTATGGAATTTACTTAATAAATATTTCGAATTTGTGAGTGGAGGGACATTTTTGAAATGAATTTTATAAAGAATATGAAGCAAATATTTAGTTAGACTTGTCGTGTAGTTCAAATAAGATTTGTTATCAGGGAACCATATTCTAAGACCCAAAAAATACAAGCACAGTTATACGTTCAAATATATTAAACAAATAAATATTAATACAATGTTAAATTTAAAATAAACACCTCTCAATAAACTAAATAACCTAATCCCACCGCCACCCCCAACATTCACCAGCAGCGCACACGGCAGCGTGTTATATATATAGATGATGATTTCTTGCTGAATTCAGGTCTTTTGCAAACTTGTGTTACTCTGTATTAAAATTAATTAATACAGTAATATTACTGTATTAATTAATTTTATCGTCTTGGCCTGCATTTTTGCTATCTTTGACTGTAATATTACTGTCTCATGCAATAATATTACTTTTTGGGACAATAATATTACTAATATTACTGTTCGGGAAAATAATATTCATAATATTACTGTCTCAAACAGTAATATTACTGTCTAAGACAATAATTTAGCAGCCAAGACAGTAATATTAATTAAAATATTTTTTTCTAATAATACAAATTTTCAAAAAAAAAAAAAAGTCAACGCCGGAGACCGGCGGTTGACCGCTGGAAAAAGAATTAAGAAAAAAAAGAGTCAATGCCGGAATCTGGCCGGGAAACAAAAATCAGAAAAAAATGATTTTCTAAAAAAAATATTTTTCAAAAAATTATTAAAATGAGGGTTAATGTAATATTTTTGTTTAAATCCGGGGTCAAAGTGAATATTAAGGAAGTTAGAGTATAATTGATGGAATTGATAAAAATTATATTATGAAGGGTATTTTAGACTAAACGCGTGGGGATGAGTTTATTTGATAGAATGTTTTTTTTGTGGACCAATGTGCATTTAAGTCATTTGTCATGTCCATTTTTGTCATTTGCCCTATTATTTAAATAACCCCTTATATGTATAATATTAGCAGGTAAATTTCACTTTCCCCCTTGTACTTTGGCTCGATATCACTTTACCCCCTTCTACTTTTGATTCCATCGATTTGCCCCCCTATACTTGAAAAATTATCTCAATGTGGCACTCGTTGAAAAATTATCTCAATGTGGCACTCGTTGTTAGTTATCGGACATTTGACCTTAACACCGTTTGATTTAAGCTCTGAAATTACAAAATGCCACCTCTCCCACTTTAAATAATTGTTAAAAAAAAAATCAAGACAGCGAGAAAACATAGTCCACGACGTCAGCCACAATTTATTTTTTTATTTTTTTAAATTTTTTTCATAATAATTTAAACTGGGAGGAGTGGTTTTTTTGTAATTTTCAGGCTTAGATCAAACGGTGTTATGGTCAAATGTCTGCGGCTGATGGCCACATTGAGACAAATTTTCAAGTACATGGGGGCAAATCGATGCAATCGAGAGTAGAAGGGTGCAAGTTTATCATTGGTAATTGATCGGAATAGCTGCTGGTAATTATTCTGGTCTTGCTGCAATTTAAGATTAATCGATCAATGATTATATACAGATGATGATTTCTTGCTGAATTCAGGACTTTTGCAAACTTGTGTTAATCTGGCCGGTGAGAGTGATGAAGAGAGACGTGATTCATAGTTACGTCGTCGGCCAAGGTTTTGTGTTATATGTCCGATTGAAGGCCGAAGCCATGTAAGAAGAAACCAGCTACAGATAAATCAGGTTCCTAATAACATGTAAGAAGAACATCCGTTATTTGACATATTTATTTATTTTACTTTCAGTGTGTATAAATGTTGATATTATTTTGATTGAGCATGTTAATACTTAATACCGACAGGCGACAAAGAACTCGTTCACTAATCAACTAATATTCGAAAACTAATTAATCACTAGTTGCATTTATTTATACATGTAGTCAGAGTACTAACATAGCTTTAAAAACAGATCGATCGCTAAAGAAGATTAAATGATTCAGTATTGTCTTCTTTATCATTTTGGAGCATGCTGATAAATACTCCCTTGCTGATTTGGTTGCTGAACTTGTGATAATCGTTCCTGGAAACATTCTTCTTCTTCTTTCGTCATTAATAGTGCATTAATGTCTATTATAAAACCTTCTTCTTCCATCGACATTAATAGTTGATTAATGTCTACAAAATCGTCGTCCAACCACTCTTCTTCCTTGTCGTCCTTGCAATTATCCATTGCGTTTGCGTTTGCGTTTGCGTTTGAATTTGCGGCCGCATTAATATTATTATTATTAATCCCATAATAATATTGATCATTCAAATTATCATGTGCTTCAACAACTTCACGAACTCGGTCTGATGCAACAACTTCATCTTCCTCTCCTCAATTTTCTCGTACCGCAACTTGTTCTTCTTCTTCTTGTCGATTTTCTCCTACCGCAACTTGTTCTTGTTGTTGTTGATTTTCTAGGAGATTAGCCCGCCGTTTATTAGCACTGCTTGATTTCGAAACATTCTTATGAATACGGCAAATAACCCAGTCATCCAACTGCAAAACGATAACAAAATACATACAGTTAGTTAGTAATCAACAACTTATAATTATTAATTATTACAAAAATTATTATTAATTAAGGGATCGATCGCATCATCTTCGTCTAATTAATAAATAAATTAAATAATTAGATATTATATATATATATATACCTTCATGTTGTCGTCGGCATCTCTTTTATTCCGGGAAGGATGAATCGCTGTATATTCATGCATGATCCAATCGGTCTTAATCCCGTCTTTTGATGATATTCCTTCGTGAAAAACCAAAGTCATCTTGTGTCCGATAATTTTATTATTAAATTTAATATCCTTGTCGGCACAACTAGCTTTCCAAAATCCGTTGCCTGCAGTTCGATTAGGCCGCGATCCCTTGGCATACTTTCGAATCCTCGGGGTGAAAAAATACCATTCCTTGTCTCCAACTGGAGGATATTCGCCTGTATATATTAAGAACTGATCAAGATCAATATGCATGTAAGAGTTTAAGATGAAAATAAGCATGAAATAAAAAATCAGATCCATAAAAAAAGAATACAAAACAAAAACCTAATTAATCAAGAAAAGTTGACAACTTAATTAATTAAAAATAATCAAGAAACCTTAATACAATTAAGATGAAAATAATCGTAAAACCTAAAAATCATAATCCATAAAAGAACACATACACAAGATCATTCATGCGTGAACTTAAAAAAAAAAAATAACGTACGTGACAAATAATCGGGACCGTGATCGGAAAAGTTGACGACTTGAATAACGTCGGCTGCTAAAGGCCGATTGTCGATCTTCGTTAGTAAGTAGTCAGAGATGAGTTCTTCATCTGTCGGCATGAAACGGTAACCTGGCGGATACTTCGACTCCATTGCTATAATCACAGATTAAATTCTCCTCTAGTAAGTCTTTTTTCTTTCTTGCTTTTGAATTAATAATGCATGCAGCATCTCTATGGGGCATTTATAATATTCTCAAATTCACTTCACAATTTGAATTCAATTGGACTCTATGATCTCTATCATACCAAGTCTCCGCCACCTTTCTCTCTTTTTTTTTTTTTTGTTTTTTTCTTTCTTTTTTCTTTTTTTTTTTTTGTAATCAATTGATTTATTATATAATAAATAAATTTAAGGGTGCATTTGGATGGAAGGATTTGGGGAAGGGATTTCAAATCCATAATAACAAATCCCTTGGACTTGTTTGGATTGAGGGATTTTGGGATGGATTTCAAATCCATAATAACAAATCCCTTGGACTTGTTTGGATTGAGGGATTTTGGGATGGATTTCAAATCCACACCCCTCCTTTTTAGTTATGTTTTGAGCAATTGAGGTGGATTTCAAATGACTCCAAAATTGGAGTCATTTCAAATCCCTTCCCCAAATCAAATCCCTCCCCAAATCCTTCCATCCAAACGCACTCTAAAATTATTGATCATATTTAATTTTTTTTTATGTAATTCATAATTTTCACGATAGTTTGATCATCATATATATAATAAATGGTCTATTACAAATAAGTCCGTCATGGGCTACTTATTCTTAAAGGGGTCCAGAAAACAATTTTTTTTTTACAAAAAAAGGTCATCTATAGACATCTGTATGAATTGTTTTTAAATTTTTTCGGTCATAGTCATCTATATATAGACACCCGTAGGAAACCGCAGTCACCCACAATATGTATATATATATTGATACTATTTTGAGTGAGGATGCTAGTAGGCGCCGGAGTATGTTGATCAGTTGTGTTTCTTGTTGAAGGCCGGTGTCGAGAAAATTCCTACACCATCTCACGAGATCCTCGCCATGTATAATCTTGTTCCAGTGGTACCAGGCTGCCCAAATGAATGACTACTAAGGCGAGCAAGACTGTGTTCGTCAAAAGAGCATTCTAATTAAGATACTTAAACCATCTCCACGTGAAAGAAAAAAATATTTGGAGCCATTATTAAGTTCAAAAACACTATTTGACCCGACCATCTCCATGCCATTACAGATCCAATAAGGCTTTTAGGATGTTGCAGACTTGCAGTGTTTCAAAATTTTCTCCGAATCCGACGGATTTGGGATTTGGGTGACAGTGAGGGGAGAATGAGATGAAGTTGAAGTATGTCTCCCAACAAACCGTTTTGGAAAGAAGAAATTAGTGTTTTTAAAAAACATTTGAAAATTGCAATTTGATCCAAATGAAGTATGTCTATTTGCAAAAGAATCCCAAAGGACATTAGGACTTTTCATGTATAAAAAACGGGATAATTACAGTTTCTATCCCTATAGTTTTCACCTAAAACGATTTAGTCATCAAATATGTGTCGCCACTAATTTAGTTCTCAACTTTACCACTTAAATCTCCCATTTCCTTCACCAACTTCCGCTGCCTTCCACCATCTCTCCAGCACATCTTTTAAAAAAATAACATGAAAATCAGCCCGGGCAAAACCAGAAAAAGGAAAAAAAAAAAAAAATGGCGCTCATTGATCCTCACTCCAACACAGACCATACTTCAATCTTGCAAACCCAGTGGCAAAATAAAGGGAAAAAACCACCACCACCAGGGCAAGAATGTAAACGCGACGCTGAAATCAAAACCACTACCACTAAAGCTCCTACTCATCTTTTATGCTACAACAAACAATTTGAGATGAAATCAAAACTATAACTTGCAAAATTACCAAATTCAAAGTTTAGAGATTGCAACTTGGAGAAATTTACCAAAATCAAAGTTTATTAATGCACGATCGTGATGTTCCACTCCACAAACATTTCAAATTTTGTGAAATTAGGGTAGATCGATTACGGTGTTGTATTAAATCGCCTCAATTTGAGGATTAGTAAAGTATAATCTAAGGGTTGGATTTTTGTTGAAATGGCATAAGAGAAAATTAGGGATTTGGAGGATAAAAATCCGGGGAAGCTGCCAAATGGACTGTTGTGTTCTAGCTGGAGTTTTGATTGTCATTTGGACGTCATGTGAGGCGCACGTGATATTTTCGTCCAAGTTAACTGAAAAAGTTGCTGGCCGAACTAAAAGTGCCAAAATGTGGTAAGAATGAGGACTAATTTCGTGAACTTCAAAGTTTGAGGATTAAAATCGTTTAGTGTAAATACACCTAAAAAAACACACCTCTAGTCGCACAAATCGCGCGTGCAACACACTATAAGTTGGCAGAGACTAGTGATTTTGACTAATTTTCATAAGGGGTTCATTGTTAATTTTTTAACACAAGGGTTTTTTTCCATTAATTCAACGTTGTATAGGGGCGATTTTTGCAAAAAAAAAAAAAAAAAAAAAAAAAAAAAAACTCGTGTTTAGATGGTAAGCGTTATTCATATGTCATAAAAATTAGAGTTGTGTGTATTAATAAATAATGTGTAAGTGGAGTTTATTTACAAAACAAGAAACTTGAACAACCCGTTTTTAATTAGGGATTATTTTAGGGACCCCCATATGAAAAATATTTGGAACCAACCACCAAGGATATTACAACCTGGTGCATACCCCCTCCATTTTGATATTAATTTGGAAAAACCCCCTCACAACTTTTAAGTACCTAAAATGCCCTTTTAAAATAAGTTTTAAACCCTAGCCAACTCATAGCCGTCTCTCTCTTCCTTTCTCAACTCTCATATCCAAATCCAACCCCCATACGTCTCCAACCGGCAATGTTTCTTCCTGGAGTCATATCCCTCTCTCCGGTGGTCGGAATATGATGGTTTAACTACCGTTAGATTTCTCTCATCGAGCTCTTTCTTTTGGTGGTGGTTTCATACAATTTAGATATTTGGATCTATTTCTTTAATCTTTTCACAGTCGGCGCATATTTCAACGACGGTGGGTCTGGCATGAGGTGTAATTTGTGTTCCGGTAGTCGGAATTTGACGGCTACCCACTGTTGGATTCATTTCATCGCGATCTATATTTTGATGGCAATTTCGTTTATTTTTTTATTGTCAGATTTATTTGTGTAATTTTTTTCATTACGAGCGCGAAACGTTAGGTGGTTAGCGGCAACAAGGGTTTTCGTAGGAGGCACTTGGGTGAGGAGTCATTAGCAGTTTGGTCTAAAATTTGTAGCATTTCACAACTATGACCTATCTTTCCCTATATATCTCTCGATCTCTTAGTGTTTGTCGATTTTGTATTGTTTTGACGTTTCTTCAATTATGTTAATTTACACTAAAATAATTTTTTTTGTTTTGATTTTGCAATTGCACCTTAATGCTCATTGATCATCTCCTTGAAGGTGTCAAAAAATTTAGTTGAAGTTGTAGACGAATTTGATGATTTTGACATCTGCTTCAAGTTATAGTTTTTTACAGATTGTGTACATTACTACACATTATTATACACTAGTATTTTTCTCCGTGCGATAGCACATAATATTATTTCAAAAGTGAGAAAAAAATCAATTTAATACATAATACGGAAATATAGTACACTAGCATAGTAAAATTTAATAATGTACTATTATTCATATTTTATAGAACATTAGTTTTTTTAAATCTTACATATACAGATTTATAATCCAAATAAATAGATTAATATTTAACAAATCAAATTTCTATCTTCATCTCTTAAGATTTGAGATATATTGATGAAAAATAGGAGATTAATAATTGTTGAAAATTAAATTAGAAAATTAGTATAGAAAAAATATTAAAAATAAATATTTAGAGAAGTACCACTAGGGTGGGATTCTTCACGGGTTAGATTTAAATTTGAAAATTGTTAAAAATTATAGTTAGAAATTAGTAAGGAAAAAATATTAAAAATAAGTAATTCAGAAATACCATTAGAGTTTTTTTAGGTTGCCCAGCGTTTCTCTCTTTTATATATAAGACTACTAATAACGTATAGTACATGTAGTAACATATGCATGTAATTGTGTATTTCGACTTGTATTTTTTGGTTATTAATTAATTTATAATATAATTATTTTAATTGTGAACTTTTGTTGTTGGTGTTTATGAATTATTTTTGTATAAGCGTTGATATTCGTGTTTGTATATAATTGGTCGACTAAAAAATTAGGATAAAAAGAAAGAACATTACTAAGGATGACTATGGTTTACTACAATTGCATGTAGTTCTTCTTAGTACAGTCAACATATCGATTTGAAAAAAAATTAAAAAGAAATTATATAAAAAAAAGATTATTAAAAAAGATATACATATAAAAATAACAAAATAAAAAACAGGTGTTTATAAAAATAAAATAAAACATCAGCGAAAGTACTAAATGTAGGACCATAGTTGCTAAATGCGCGACCATATATACTGAATGCAGTTTGGGTGAAAATTGCATATAAAGGCAGTATAGAACTTTTCCTATCCACGGGTATCTCTAAGGATGATTTCCGCTTGGATTTATCCCTAATTTATTAGGTTCCTAGGGGTATATAAAATAGTTAAGTCAACGTGTATATGTCATTAGTCCCATAATATGATGTAAAAATCCTAACGTGTGTAAAAGTAGCGAACGGGTATATAATGCGTGGGCATTTGGCGAACAATTCAGGATGAAATGTCGACCATTCTTTATTTGTTTCCTACATTAATAGGAAACTTAACACAAAATTAAGGTTACTAAATTTTGTTTCCGCAATTATTGAATTTCAAAATTGCTAAAGGATATGTTCAAGCAATCGAGGGAGTACAAAGGATTTTTATGAATAAGTCTTTAACCAACCATTTTTTATTATCTTAGGTTGAGTCCTAATATCTCTTTCGCCAATAAGCCTATTCCTTTAATATGTATTATAAATAAATAAAAAATTAATATACATGAAAACATTACCCCTAACCCTTTAAACTCAATTCATAATTGTAACCCCAATTTAACTTTAATTTAATCAATTTTGAACATAAAAATCCAATTTTGACTTTTTCATTTTTTAAACATTTTTTCTGAAC